CACCCGATCTCCCCCCCCCGCGGGGAGGGATGGGGGGGGGGAATGGGGGGTGTTAGAACCCCCCCCATATTTAAAACCTCCAAAGGTTGAGAAATACTGGCTTAAAGTATCACATTTACAGCTAGAACGTGTCCTCCACACTCATCATGACCAGGATTGTGTGTGGCTGTCTGCATTTTTTTTTTAAAAAATGGCATTCTGTGGCTAAATAATTTAAATTCTCCACCAATGAAAGTTCAGTTCTGCTGCCCAATTGTATAATTGGTATAAATGATGCCAATTAAGCAAAATAGTGGCTTTGATTGTCTTGCAAGAAGCTGATCCTTGTCCTTAACCACGTCTGAAATTTCATCTTTAGCGTTCACGAATTCCTGTGTGATCATTAGAGCTAGAAACTCGCTTCCTGTCCCAAATGAAATGAATTTTCTGAAAAGCACATTGTGCATAATGCATACTCAAGTTTTTCTACACTCGCACGGAACTACAGTATAAAACACAGACGTGCTCGTAATCTTTCTTGGCTATGTTCCTTAATGCTGCCTTCCCTTTTCCTACAGATAACCCCCCACTCTGCCTCATCAAGCTACCTGCACCTACCACCTCTTCCTCCCCTGACCAACCGGCCCACGCCAGGGAAAAGGACACCTTTAGCTATCACGGTATGTAGATTTGTACTTGGTTCCACCTCTGTTCTCAGGCACCAACATCATTACCACCATCATGGGCAATGTCAGCTCAAATAATTAACTAGATAACTGCATGGAAAGTCTAATTATTATTGTTATATAATATTTATGCCCCTCTTTTCTACCACTAATAGGCATTAGCCAGTAGCTGGAACTTTTAGTTCCTGGTTGTACAGTAGCTATTTGCTGATGTAGTAGTATGTCCACCAGTTCTTCATAACTCAACTCTTCATCAGTTTGTTTTAGGTTATTTTCACTACTGTGGGTTCAGCAGTGGGGAAAGAAGGCCCGTAAGGAGTTCTCTGAATGTCCCATTAGAACAACGTTTCTCAACCTTGGCAGCTTGAAGATGTGTGGACTTCAGTGGCTGGCTGGGGAATTCTGGGAGTTGAAGTCCACACTTTTTCAAGCTACCATGGTTGAGAAACACTGCATTAGAATAAGCCGTGGAAGAGAACAGGAACAGAGAACAATGTTCAGCTTAGCTTCACTCCATCTTCTAATTATGTGCTACCATTAAAAAAATCTGAAGGTCTCAAATGTTTCTCACCAACGAAGCATTTGTCAAAGGCAGATGACCCACAGGCAATACTTAAACCCTTATCACGTTACGGTATGATTCCCAAAAAAATTATTTAAATTAAAAAAAAGTAATGTTCAGGATCTGGATCATCCTTTTCACAACCCTGCAAGCTGGCTCAATGTTATTAGTCTTGTATTGCTGCTGAGATAATACAGCCTAGCAAGATTTTGGCTAAAGCCCCATTTGTTTGTGTCACTTTTACTTGGTTTATTTCAGCAAACATCACCATTTGGCTTTAAAACAATTTCTTTTCAGCTCCTTTTTTGAGATGGGAATGGTCATAAATATGCCATAATCTTCCTTGATATCAAAAACTCCCCATGTGTGAAAATCTAGTCCCTTAGACTAAGGTTTTACCTAGCCTTCTCCCTGACTGGCAAGGTTTCTTTGTGCAAGGGTTGAACAGGTAATCCTTGCTTAACGACCACAATAGGGACTGGAAAATTGGTTATTAAGCAGGGCAGTCGTTAAGTGGGTCACTAGGTGACTGGACCCAATTTTACGACCATTTTTACGATGGTCATAAAGCAAATCACTGCAGTTGTTAAGTGAATCACATGGTTGTTAAGCAAATCCAGCTTCCCCAATGGACTTTTTTGCCAGAATTCTCTTAAACAACCACGTGATTTGCTTAAAGACAATGGTGATTCACTTTACAACTGTGGTAAAAAAGGTTGCAAATTGCAATCATGTGACTGTGGGGGGTGGTGTGATGGTTTGCAATGGTTGTAAGTGCAAGTACAGGTTGTAAAGCACTTTTTCCAAGGCCGTTGTAACTTCAAACCATTGTTAAACGAACAGCTGTTAAGCAAGGACTACTTGTACAAAGGTACTCATAGAAACCTTGTTGGATCCAGGTTTGGGGAAGGCTCTTGAGCACATGCATAGTGTCCCCTGCTTTGGTGCCACAGCCACCAGCTGCCACCTCTTCTCTCCTCTATTTGTGGGGTAATAACATGGATATGCTTTGATATCTTTCTAGGGTCGAAACCCACTGCGGGAAAGGAACAACCATTCTCCTGGCAGGCAGCGGTTTGAAAGTGACACCGACGTATGTGTTTCTCTTTTACCAATGGATAATGTTTATTGTTTTGTTTTGCAAATTTCCCTTATTTATTTACATACCCCTGAAAGAGGTCATTCTTCCCCCTCCCCCAGGCATCTTGTAACCAAGCTGAGATTTGAGAACGGCACAAATAGTGTTGAAAAGTAGATTGAATTAAACCAAATTGTTCCAAATGCAGCAGCAGTAAAAGCGCCATTTGAAAAAGAAAAGAAGGAAAATCACAGAGGTCAATTGTAAAATGAAAATGAAGAAATGTATTCCATGATGGCCTAAGAACAGGAAGAGAGGTGATTAGGCAGATTTCCCCAGGACCACATTGCATAAAACTGGTGCCCCCACAGAAAAGACTGTCCAGGTCCAGAAGATGATCTTAGTTCATCTAAGTTAAGTAATTTTACATTGGCCTAATGATTCTTTGAGAGCCAGTTTGGTGTGGTGGTTAAGGCAGCAGACTAGAAATCGGGAGACTGTGAGTTCTTGTCCCACCTTGGGCACGAAGCCAGCTGGGTGACCCTGGGCCAGTCATTCTCTCTCAGTCCTAGGAAGGAGCCAAAGGTAAACCACTTCCAAAGTCTTGCCAAGAAAACTGCAGGGACTAATCCAGGCAGTCACCAAGAGTCAAAACTGACTTGAAGGCACACACACTCACACCATGGTTCTTTGGGCATGGACTCATTCGGTGGAAGAGCAGTTCTTTTGCTGCATCGTTTGGCCACCTGTTTCTGCCTATCCCTGATACCCTTCTAATCAGTGTTCCACTCCCCGTGGCCAGACAGCAAGTTCCCACGTGTGGTATGGATAGAGGGTAGCTTATTGGGACCAAGTGGGCCAACCCTGGCCTGCACCCGTGCCTTATCAGCACTTTGATCAGCAGAGAAAGCTTTCCACGATATAAGATCTGTTTGCATTAGCCGGTCAAGCAGCTGGCAGAAGTATCTGTTTAATTTGGAACTTTTCATTGAATTAATTTCAAAGGCTAATCAACTGAACTTTGGAATCATGGATATCATCATAAAGCAAAGGATCCATGAGTAGTAAACTTCTCTAGTCTAGATCCTCTGGATGAGTTGGGGGTGTAACTCCCAATATTCCCACCCAGCATGTCCAGAAATGTAGGGAGTTGCAGTCCTTATTGGGGAAACCACAAAATATTCCTTCGAAAGAGTTTTGACTTGTAAGTTAAGCCCTTTAAAAACCATGTTCGTGTGTACCTCAGTGCCTTCTGAGGACTTTAATTGGAATCAGTCCATTTTTTTCTATGTTTTCAGGCTGTCTTGACAAAATTGTGTGGCCAAGACAAGCTGCTTCGAAGTCTGGAAGACGAGACAGGGCAGCTTCGTATCGAAAAGGTATCTAATTCCGCTTCTATTGAACAAATCACCATTTGGTTAGCTCTGTTATGTTTGAGTATATTGTGTTTGGTGAATCGTTCTGGGATCTCCCCTCTTTTTACTATGATGGGATTTAAAAGGGCCTTTTCTCAGATCCTTTTGGTCGGAATCATGACTGCTAAATTGATTGGGAGCTGGATAGCTGTGTTATAAATGTACTATTTCATACCAGAAGGTGACAGCAATGTCAAGCCTTGAGAAGTCTTCCTACAGTGCTTCTTTTTATCAATAAATTCATATTTAGCCTCAGTCTCAAATGAGGTTGAGAGAAAGGGAAAGCTACACTTATCTAAGATCTCCAGATATGGGTTGGATTCAGATCTATTGTTGTAGTCGTTAATACACCTCACTGATTTCTGTGAGCTACTATCTGATTTTTGAGTGCATGTTTATCTATGTTCTTTTCCCTCTGGACTTCTCTCTCATTCCCTCTTCTTTTGCTTTAGGCTCCCTTAAATTGAGAATGTTGTCATTTGTCTTCAGGGATCTTGGAATCCTGTAAGCTGCCTATCTATAAGGGTAGCACAGTATTTGTAGCTTGCTTGCTGGATTAAATGGGTTTAGGATTTTGGAAGTGGTCATTCCCATATACTATTATATCACCTTACATCTACTGGAGATGATTTTATTTAATCATGTATCAAAAATTGATCAGAAGTTCGGTTGTCATTATTTGGTTATTTGCTGCCAAATTTCAGCTGCAAGGTCTTGGGACTGATTCCCTCCCTATGCTAAGTAGTCTGTGATGCTGTCCATTTCTGTAATTCTGCAGAATGCATTGAAACAAACATTGCATTGTTGATTCATCAAACTGCAATGAAAAGCTGTGTTGGGCTGACAGTTCTTGAAATGGATGCGGTACTTTTTCAGGAACGTCTTGAAAAGGCCTTGGAGGTAACACACTTGAGGCTGGAGGAGTTTAAAGGCCAAGATGCCACCCTGGAGAAGATCTGCTATCAACAAAGACAACTGCAAGATGAACTGGTGCATGTCCGTGCCCGTCTCTGTGATCTTGCATTGGTAAGTGGTAGCAGATGCCTGATACTTGGGTGAAAATATTTTTGTACAAACATCCTAACTGGATCTGCAGATAGATCAATTGGTAGCTGTATACCAGGCCAGGTATACAGCTACCAATTGATCTATCTGCAGATCTATCCAGGATGTTTGATCATCAACTGGTAGTTATAGGAAAAAGGAAAAAAATACTGTGTATCTGTCTTTCCCAGGCTGGAGACATCCAAATGCACTGGATTACAACTCCAATATTTCTAGCACACTGGCTAGAAATTATGGAGGGTGTTGTGCATCATATCTGGAAGACTCCAAGTCGAGACTGGTTGCTAAATATCTTACAAGTAGGAATTTTGATTCTCCAACATGGAGCCAGTAATGAGGGAGTGGCATGGAATGGAACATTCCACATTGTGACATTCCTGTCAGTCAAGGGTGGGTACCAGTATATTTGGAACAATATGGCACCATGTGAGCATCAAGGGGGGAGGTTTGCAGAAGGACAAAAAAAAGAAAAATGCTTTAGGGGAATGGATACCCAAAACAGACTAAGGAGTGGCTGTGGAATGTTGGCAGACTGGAGACAAGGTGGAATATGTGAAAAGCCAGATGGGAAGAGGCACAGAATGAGTATTTTGGAGAAGACTTGGCTGATCAGGGAATAATCCATGCTGACAAATTGATCTCCTGTGTGCCTATGTATGTATGCATGTGTGTGTCCTATCAGATCTGGGCTGCAAAAATCCAGAGGACTGCTCGCCATCTAGTGGTTGTCCTGATTTTTTGCAGCACAGATTCAGTAAGACAAATATATCCCATCAGCTTTCTCCCATGTCATACTGTAGCGCAGGTAAGCTGGACCATTATCAAAAGATTTGGTTATTGTATGAATATGTGCTCAGTAGGGAATGTCTGTCTAAGTAGCTGAGTTGTTGTTTCTGTCCAGGACAGTGAACGAGTGTGGGAGGATTATACGGCCTTGGAAAATGACGTACAGATGCTGAAGGGCTCTTTAGAGCATATCCGGATTTCAGGACATCCGCAGGTAAATCCTCAGTATGAGGGACACAGCTTTCTCAGTAATGGCCCCAAACATACAGAACTCTGTTCCAGGAGATGCCTACCAGGCTGCAACGCTAAGTAGGCCAGTGGCCTCTACTGACAGGGGCCTTTGATTGAGTTAACACTTCATTTGGCGAAACGATATATAAGGTGTTTCTGGTTTCAGAATTTAATAATGCAGAATTTGCTGGCTTTTTCATTGTTAAATGTTAAATACTGTATATGTACTTTAGTGGTCATAGGCCACTGTGGGAGAGTGTCATTGATAGGCCAATTTTTGAATCTCATTGATAACTAAAAAGAATGCATGGAATTAATAAACAATTAGTTTGGTATTTTACCCCCCTAAAAAAGATAAGTAATTCATTTTATACAGATTATTTTGCATTGCGGTAGGGGTAGGGGGCGTGTTTATACAACAGACACACAGGTGTATTCCTAGTCCAATTTTTAAAAATGGGGATAAAAAGAAGATCCCTGGATGCTCAACTTCAGGGTCCACCCACCCCCGCCCCTTTTTCACGTATAGGAACTCCTGTTTCTCTTTGATTAACTGCTGTCTTAAAAACTAGAAAGAAAGACTAAAAAGATGTCAAGATCCATATACTTGATATCAATGCTCCACATACTGAAAATTCCTGTCCACGGAAGAAATAACTGTGCAGCTTTGGAAATAATTTGCCACGGGAATGATCTGCCTTACAAACTTAGGGGTGTATTCGATGGCAGTGCTGCTCTCACTGAGAGCTTTCAGCTCTCATCCAGGTGGTGATGGGAAGAGGCGGAAGAGTAGGAGGTGTGTCGGTTGGCTCCATCTGTCCAATCCATTCCCTTCCTTTAGGACCAAGCGGCGGCTCAGCAGGATTTGTGGAGAATCCATGACATCCTGGCAGGATTAAGATGCAGCCCGGCAAACTGTCCCACCCCGGAAAACCGAAGATCAGGTGCATTAATACAGTGTGATCAGCACTGCACTAGGTGTGGGCAGGGCGGGATATTTTTCTGTTATGGATAGTCAGCATTGCAGCCAAGGGCGCTCTTTCCTTATCCCATTTTTATACCTGGGATTTGGTCCTGGGAATGGTACCCCACCTTTCCATCAACAGATGAGAGTAATCCTTGTGGATTACTATCAAAGAAATAAAATCACCGATGCGGTTGAGAAGGTAAAGATACCCTTGAGTCAATGTGATTCTCGGTGACTACCTGGATCCAAACATGCAGATTTTTTTCATGCTTCTGAGATGGTTTCCAGCTTCCCAGTCTAACCTACAGTCCTGTTATTCCTGGAGGGGGAATGTGCCCTCCGAAGACTATCCAAACCCATCTAAATGTCCAACTTGCCATCTCCTGAAACTCCCTTGTAATTAAAACACTACTGAAGGTGTAAACATATCTTGGGACAAACAGCGGGCATATCCAATCAGGCATCAGCTAAGAATGCTTAAATGAAAAATGTTTTGGTCTGCTGGTGGGAAGGTGACCGAGAGGTAGACTTCAGCGGTGGTGGGGAGGTGTTTGAAACACTGAGAGCAGCAACCAAGAAGGACCTCTTGGGCACCCCCAGCAGAGGAATCTCTGATGGTGTGCTGACTAAGAGAAGGACCTCGCTTGAAAATCTTAAAGCCTGAGCAAGTTGGGAGAAAAGAATCCACTGTAACACCTTTTGCTTTCTTCACTGTAGGTGTGTCTCCAGGCTCACCCTCATCTCTGGACTCTCATTTGGGCACAAATCATCACCCTCTGCTTCCTTGCACCGAAACAGAGGTACTTTAAAAAGTACAAGTCACATCATCTGGGCTTTGGCTCCAGAGCAAGATGGATTCTCCCTTTTTGTCTTTCTTTTAGATCCCTGTCCTGCTGTATTTTTATAAGCATTCTTTAGAACAGTGTTTCTCAACCTTGGCAACTTTAAGATATGTGGACTTCAACTCCCAAGATTCCCCGAGCCAGCCATGCTGG